GGGTCTTCCCACCACAGCTTGGAGAAGCGGGTCAATGCTGGGCCAGTTTGCAAACCCGCTGAAGTCCCTGCAACAGGCTGCTTGGCCAAGCCTCCTCAGCCGAGTCTGGGTCGTCGTCGTGGTGTTTGATGCAGTGAACTTGTGTCTCTTATCAAATGAACTTATTTTTTTTTTTTTTATGCTTGTGATCCCAGCAGTGGCCTCTGGAGACGGGTCGTGGTCCACCGTAGATGCATTTGTCAGAGGGAGTCGTGGAGATTCGGGTCAAGGCGTAAGGCCTGGGGCTTCCAATGGTGAGTTTCTGGTTTCTGCTAAAGCAAACACTTTGGGGCAGCTTGGGAGATGGGCGCTTGATGCTACTTGTCACTTCTGAGTTGGGCCCTGGTAGTGGAGGAAACTCGGTGCTTTGGTAGAATTTGGGTGGGAATTCCTTCAAGCCCTATTGACCCTTAGTGGGTCTTCCCTTCTGACCTCCCAGGGCTGGATAATCCATCCCTCGGGTCTGTTTTCACTCCTCAAAAACTTCCTTGAGATAAGTGACTTGGAATGTCCAAAACAGGGGCCTTACCAGGCTGTCTCCATGGGAAGAGAGCACCTTCCCCTCACCCCAAACAGTTTCAGGTTAGAGAACTACCCAGGGCACTGGGGTACAGAACAAATCTTAGGAGGGAGGGGCGGAGTCTTACATTTGAGTCCATGTGCCTCTCACCATATTTGATAATTGGATGTCAAATTTTAAGGCATGGCTCTAGAAGATAGTTTGAGAGGGCATCATGTGGGTACCCAGGTTACCCTGTAGCTGACCCATAAGGGTTAAACGTGTGTCAGAGAAATCCAGGTTATGTTTGTGGAATCCCCCACAGTGAGTGCGTGTGTGTGTGTGTGTGTGTGTGTGTCTTCTGTCTCCCTTTGAGACAGCCCTAAGTGAGTAGAAGTGGTAGCCAGAAACCTTCCCTTTTCCACCCTCCTGCATGGGTCCCTTAAAAAAGCCCCCTCGGGGAGCTTCTGGGGACTGAGGCAAAATTTTATTTCAGGTGTCTGGCTCATAGGAAAGTCCCTGAGTAGCTCTGGTGAGGAGGGGAGAAAGCCCATTTGCTGATTGCTGTCTGGCCAGCTCTCCATGCCTCAAGGGCCTGTGATCCTGAGGGGGTCTGGAATACATTAGGCTCAGGCAGCACCATTCTGGGGGTCTGTGGAGAAGCAGGGAGGTGCAGAGTAGGCAAACAAAGGCAGGTTCTGTCTGCTTTGGGAACCGTAGGTGATTGGTGGCTTCCCCAGTGACTTGTCCTCATCTCTGAGCCCAGGCTTCTTAGGAAAAAGGTGTCCTATACAAATTGCATCTTAACTGGGTGGTGAGAGGTCCTGGGCTCCCCGGTCATTTGAGGGGAGCTGCACTTCCCCAAGGATCTCTCCACTGATGCAAGAGGAGACACGCTTGGTAACATGGCTCTAACTCAAAATACCAAAGAAATCAGATTTGTTCTGAAACATTGCAGGGCAATAATGGCGAGCATATGTTTTAGGCTGTCATTAGCCAAATTAGCAGACATGGAGCTGCCTAGAAAATGTGTGTGTGTGTGTTTGTGTAAGAGGGGGGGCTGTAGCCTGGAGGTCTGCTTTGGGGTGTAGAGTGCTGGATGGAACCTGGAGGGCTGCCTGGTATATATGGGGTCCCAGATGGCATCTTTGTAAAAATCATTGACCCCAGGGGAGGTTCGGTGCCCATAGCTCCTGAGGAATAAGCCCGCTGTCTCTGCTCCCCACAGATACTCTGGGCAGGGATGGAAGCCTAGATGCCTCACCGCAAGGAGCGGCCGAGCGGGTCCTCGCTTAACGCACACCACGGCAGTGGCGGTACCACCTCGGTGAGCCTGCAGGGTGGGCTCGGTCAGCCCCTCAGCCCTCTGCTCTTTTCTAGGGAACCTGCTCAGCTAGCTGCAGGTCTTCTGGGACCCAGCACTTAGGAGATAGATATCGACCGACTGTACGATTATGTATTTTTTTTTGAAACGAAAATGCTCTTAATTTGATGAGAAATTTACTACATGTATGAAGCTCGGCGCCTTAGGTGCCGAGGAAGTCACTAATTTAGAGGTGTCTCGTTACTGAGACAAACTTGCAAAAAACCCCTGAATCCCAATTCACAAATTGGTGATTCGTTTGTCAGGGGATATTTCACATCTAACACATAAGCCCGCGACCTTTAATTAGAATTTTGCAGTTTGTTTTATGCCCCTGGAGGCTGACACCTTGAAAAAAAATTTTTTTTCTTGATTTCTTATTGCTAATAAGCATCCTTCTCCCTACTCCCCCCCCCCAACCCCAGTACTTTGAAGAAAAAGATGCAAATACACTTAATTACAGTGGTGGCCATAATTTGTCAGCTGAATATGTGATCAGGCACCAGCAGAAGTGATCTGATTAAATCTGTGATCACATTCGAAATAAATGGACGTTTTAAAAAAAGCCCTTGTTTTTCAATTTCTTTCTATCTCTAGGAGGGAGGAAATATGTCCCGGCTGTCACTCACCCGGTCGCCTGTGTCTCCCCTGGCTGCCCAGGGGATCCCACTGCCAGCTCAGCTCACCAAAGCCAATGCACCTGTGCACATTGATGTAGGTGGTCACATGTATACCAGCAGCCTGGCCACACTCACCAAGTACCCTGACTCCAGGTAAGAGCTCCGCTCCCAGTGTTGGGCACGTGGTGTTCATAGGGTTCTTACACCAAGGTCGGTCGCTCCCCGGTGCTTCTGAGGATTTGAGAGATCCTTGCTTGCTGTTGCCACTTCTGACTGGGGCTTTTGGCCCTACACTGGTAGCCTTTGTGGTATAGCACGGAGCTCCAGTCCCACGTGAGCCTGGCCAGCAGCTGGCTGGGGAGTCTCACAGAGTGACACTCAGTCAGGTGAGAGTGGGCATGGTCAATGCTGTGTCCTGTCCTTACCCTTGGGAAAAGGAATGGTGTGTACCAGTTCTGGTTGTACCCTCCTTTTTTGGGGGGGTGGCCACCGTTTGACCCGAGGCGCTAGGAACAAGCTTCCTTTGGAGCTGGAGGATGTAACGATGAGTTAGAAATTGCAGGACAGTCGGGGATATTTTTGACAGTGGTTGAGCATGAGTTCAATGCCTTGTAATGTAGGGAACTATCTGTGACCAGGACCCTGGCTGGGGACTTTCAGACTCTTCAGAGGAAGGACCCTTAGCTGCATGGGTACTGCCAACTCACTTGCTCTTCTCGTGGATTTAGTTCCCAAGGACACACCTTGGCCCAGCAGCTGGAGGCGAGACTGATAGGGTGGGCTGTATCTCCGTGCACATCTACAGGTGACTCTGTGTGCAGCTTGCTGGGCCCATGCTGCTTGCCCCTGGCATGATATGGCAGCAAGCACCATTGGCCAGCGGGAGGGCAGGCCTGTCAGGCATCACCTCTCTTTTATACATTTAAAATTAGAAGAGAAATTAATTAATCCCCTAGACACCGAGGGCTCATCACCAGGGTGGCTGCTCAGAGCCTAGAGGATTTCAGTGTGCAGAGGTGTCTGGGCGGAGCCCTCATCTTTATAGGAGTGCCCGGAGAGGGGAATGCTGGAAGTAGATTTTGTGTCTGGTTCAGACAGTGGCAACACAGACTAGGTACGGAGTCGTTATGAACAAGCAGCGTTGGCAGGGCAGGAGCCATGAGGCAGTACACGGCTTTGGCCGCATGCTTGCTTGCAGAGCCCTGTCTAGGCTAGGAGACGGATTTTCTTCATTTAATTTCAGTTTTGCCTTCTGCGGCGTTCCTGAGTTGTGTGAGATAGATCAACCCTTAATCGGCTGACGGTGTTTGTGAGTGAGATTCATAAAAATCTTTGCCCACAACCTTCTTGGGAGAGTGTTTTCTGAAATCCAACGTTTGCCTTCCTGCGGCTGTCACCACCCAGACCGGGTGGGTGGTCAGGGAGAGGGCTGCCTTCACGTGTTTGTCCCTAGTGGCTTTTGGGGACTGAGGAATATTTTCCCGACCTGTTGTGTGGTGGGCCAGGCTCTTTCTCTGGGAAGCTGAGGACTTGGACCTGTGATGTGACACGGCCTGGCCTGGGTATGCCCAGAGGGTATGCCGTGTACTTTACCAGAGCTGGGCTCAGGGTGAATATGTCGTTCTGCCTAGATAATTCTGGTTCCTCAGAGCTGTTTGCTAGGCCTGAAGCTGAGGCCCATGACACAGTAAAGACAAGATGTTATGAGGTGCTCCAGAGCTATTATGTATGGAAAATGCCCCTTGAGGTCCCCTCGGCTTTTAAAAGTGGATTATTGCAATTCTGGAAAAAATGTGCCACTGATTGCCCAGGCGGAGACGGAGAAGTAAGAGTGTTGAGGTTCCCCACGGAGGCAGCTGCTGATGCCCACAGTGTCCCACCCTGGGGAGTACCCCAGGGGTCAGGGGACCCTTGCCTCCCATCTCTGAGCTCACAGCATTGTACTTCCAGCCTCTGGCTCTTGGCTGATAGGGGTGGCCTCGACCCTGAGGGCCTGGTACTGGGTGCCTCCTCTGGTTCAGCCTGAGCAAATGGCCTGAGGTTGAGAGTGGACTCATGGTCTACCTCTCCCTTCGTCCTACTCGTTGGTGTCACTTAGCTGCTGCTGACACGAAGCTTCAGAGGGAATAACATCGCGCACTAAACCTCCCAGGAAGCCAGTCGGCACTTTAAAAGGAAAATGAAGGCAATATGACGGCGCCCTTTATCATCAGGGCAAGTGGCCGGATAGTGCAGGTCCCAGCCACCAAAGCGAGCTCACCAGCTTATTCCACAGGGCACCTCTGAAGTTGTGCCCGCAGAGGGCTGGTCTAGGAAGGGTTCCCACAGAGGCACGTGAAGCCACCAAACAGAACTCAGGAGCTTGCTCATGAGATGCTGTGAAATGCTAAGAGTTTCCTTGTGGTGGCTGTCCAAAATGTCCCTCCAGCCTGCCCCACACCCACTGTCACTGTAAGACTTGGTTGCTGGGGCCATGAAAGGCTTCTGTCCTAAGAGGAGGAAACGTGCTGCCATTAGACCCAGAACAGACACCAAACCATGGAAAGATCTAGAACCTGCTTGTCTTGGCTCAGTAGACAGCCTAGAACCCTGCCAGCCTTGGGCTGTGGGTGGACTGGGAATCCTCTAGACTGACAGGACAGACGCGAGGCAGCCTCTGCCAACTCCAACATCAGAGCAGCTTGGAACCCAGCCAGACCCAGCATTCTGCTTGCTACACAGAACAGAACGCTTGCACTCTTGGCTGGGGGAGGGTGGAAAGAGTTCCCAGGAAGGCTGAGGTGTGAATTTGCTGACTCACCTGTATGCTGCCTCTGACCTCTTCCTTGTCAGAACCTGGTTTGGACCCTCAGCTGTTTGCCCTGGCAGTTTGATATCATGGCTTAGCCGCATCTGGGTCCAGGGATTCTGGGTGCCCCCGCAGCTAAAAATGTTGAAGTGTTGCAGGGCCAGCTCTCAAACGAGCTGCCCGGCACTCACAAGGGTTTGCATCAGGGTCACCAGGCAGAGGGCCCCCCCCAGGGGGAGGGGGAGAGAGAGACAGAGACAGACAGAGAGACAGAG